TCAAGAAAAGTTAATACTATAGTTAAAGTACATGCAGAAAAAATATTCATTTAAATAATTCTGTTTTGATGCAGATTGTTCTTTGTATGATAGAGAATTGGGTTGGGGGCATATGCTAAATAGATATTGATCTAAGCAGTACTAGCTTCTGAAATAGCAATTATTAAATGTATGATCTTAATGATCGCAGCTAGTGCAATTTCTTAAAAACATTTAATAATCCTAACTAGACATCTCATAATTTAAATTCATTTTTATTTCTTTACATGGATAAAAAAATAGAAAATCTGTTCTTAAGATCTGCATTTAATGCTTTTAAATCGTCTAGTTTGTTAACAGATTAAATTCTATAGTTAAATATCTTATGCTTTTCACAATGGAAGATAAAATTATTCTATTTTAGGCAGTGGTAATACACTTCTTTTAAAGCAGTTGAGTGAGTTGATTAAATGCAAGAAATATAACATTATGATGAATAGTAACAGTCTAGTGCTGTGGAAATAAAAATGTTTTATTGCAAGTGGTGTTGCCACTACTGTTGGCTGAATTTGTTAATCAAAAATTCATTAAATTTGTACAAAATATGAAATAAATTTAAAAAATTCAAGTTTTGAGGTGCACATATTCGGGTGCAGATCTATGTGAGCTCATAATTTAGAGCAGTGGTTCTCAACCTTTTGACTAACGTGTACCATCTAAACAACAACTGAAAACCTTTAATACCACCACTATAAAGTACTACCACCACCACACTTGAACAAAGTTTAAATCACATAAATTTACGAGTGTTAGAGAAAAAAACTCAATCAGGATCTTGGGATTTTAATTTTTGAATTTAATAGTTAAAAATACTTTCCATCTTACCTTTTATTTAATTTATATAAGAAATAAAACCTTTTCTTACCTTTGGCCTCTGCTAGTTCGCATTGTAAACGCTTCAATGGCCCCTATTCATTTTGTTGGAAGGTTTACTGTTCCAAGCCAAGGACAAACATCAGCACATTAATCAGGCATTTAAAATAGTGAAAATTGGTGATTAAAGTAAATTGTGGCTCCTCAGTATGCAAGCAGCATGTCAAGAGTTTATATACGTGGATGAAAGCAACACGTTCTAAATTTCCATTTTGAGTACCTATGATTAGGCGAGAGCCCAAAGATCACTCACGTGATTGTTATGTTTGTATAGTGAAAATGGCAAGATATAATAACTTTTAAAAATATAAAATATGGTATCCCAGTTTACCATCAGCCATATGCCCAGTGCCTCATTCAGTTGAATTCCCAGCACCAGTTTATTTAGATTTTTTCTGCCAAGTTTTTTCCTTGCACCTTAAGTGAATGTGACCAATCTCTGCAGCATCACAGGAAGAATTACTGCTCTATACAAACTCTGATACAAACTCTTGTACTCTGATGCAAACTCTTTGAATGGCACTGGCTGAATGATGCTATAGGAGATCAGTAGCAAATACATACTTGTCTAGACTAGTTCAGTTATGCCTGAAATACTACAGTGACATGTGTAATGCTTTGATACAGTGACGCACAATTTGATGTGAAGTCCATGTTCTTGCTAATATACAAGGTTAGCAGTGTTTAGTTTTCATTTACATATGAACTGAAACCTTCAATTATGTCTGCCTCTGCTGATTCACATCGTAAGTACTTAAACAACCCTGACCTGTTTTGTTATACATGTGACAGTTTTATCATTCCCAGTCAAAGAACAAACATCAGTACATTTGCCGGGCAAGACTATTTTGCCTTTTTAAAGTGCAAATTGGTGATTAAGATAAATAATGGGCCCCTCTCAAAGTGTGTAAGTAGTGTGTCAAGAGTTTACAGATGAAGATGAAGGAAACATATTCTAAATTTCCACGTATACCTATGATTAGACAAGACCTCAAATATCACTCAAGTTTTATCAAGATATAAACAAATATAAAATAGAGTATCCTATTTCACCATCACGGCTATATGCCCAGTGCCATATGACGATGATTCTGTTCGTAAGGGATCTGACCAGCAAGAGTTGAATGATTTGGCATTTGTGACTATACAAAAAAAGCTTCAGAGCTGTTAGCAATCAAGACAGCGTGAGAAAAATGTGCTTCAAAAAGGAACTAAGGTACCCTAGTTTTGATCAGGAGAAAGTACTTTTGAAGTGATGATGGATTTGTGTATTGCCATAACATACATAGATTAATGGAAAAGTTGGGAATTTTCACCTTTAACACAACACTGTAGCAATTGTTCATCGACAGTTTAAAGTTGAGCTTGAAGAGTGTTCTCCTCTACAATGGAAATTTATGTGGTTCAGACCCAATAGGCCATTCAGTTTGTTTGTGTGAAGTATATGAAGGCATACAGAGAATTGTTAATTTGTTGCAATATTAGACACACCAATGGATCATCTGTGTTCAGTTTAAAATAGTCTGCTTACTCTTTGGCCAAACAACATGGACATACCAAGTAAACACCACTTCCCCCCTTTTGTATGTGTGTGTAAATGGGAGGGAACAGCAAAACTCACGCCCACCAAGATTTGACCTAAAACTTAGTGATCCAAACATTCTCTATCAGCCACTTGTCAACAGAAAGAGCATTATATTTTCAGCTCTCCATATAAAATTGGGTCTCAAGTAATTTGTTAAAGCCTTGCAAAATGATAAAGACTGTTTCAAGTACCTCAATTTAGCATTTCCTAAACTGCCATTTGAAAAAAAAAAAAAGGTCAGTGTGTTTGATGGTCCACAGATTCAGTAGCTCTTTGCAGATGAACATTTCAACTTCTTTAAAAGAATGCTCGATTGGCATTGAAAAACATTGTCGAAGTGCTTGAGTACAAAATCACAGTGACATTTTCTAGAAACTTTTGGAGAGCTTCAAAAAGCTTCATTGCATAATCAGCACCAAACTGCATTTTATAGACATAGCCATCTTTGCTTCCCAAAATATCTTGGTGGAGTCAGTGATGAGAAGGGTGACTGATTCTACCAAGATTTGTATATGGTCACGGTAGATGAGATATATATATGTAATAGATTCTGTAGTAAAACACAGGTAATTGTATCCACAATGAACAGCTAGAATTTTGATGCCATAGAATACTGAAATGTCAATCCACAAGATTTAAGAAATTTGGCAGTCAAGGTATATTTAATTTAATTTTTATTTCAGTAAACATGTTGCGGCCACAATCAAGTTGACACATTAAATTTTGCCTATTTGAAAAAGTTTACATTTTTGATAACTTTGTAGCAAGAAAGCAGCAGCAGATAGACAGTAGTCGAGCTAAGCCAAAGCGGTGAAAGCAAATGTGTTATGTTCAAAGGAAATCTTAATTCAGACTGAGTTAGTTTTGGTTCTCAATGCATTTTGATTGGATGGTTAATAATGCTGTAAAATTACTATTGGCTGTTTAACTTGCAGTAGCTGTATCTAGCCTTTGTATAAATAAAACTATTCTTTATGAACAGTATATTTGTTAGGTTTGCCCTTCATATGCATATTTTGTATGACTTTTGAGCCAACAAGAAGGTATCCTGTAAGTTTGTGTGATAGACAAAAACTGAAGTTATTTTAGGATTCAGAGGCCAAAAGCTATTCAGAAACAAGTGACAGGTCTAAGAAAACAAAACTGCTGCTTCCCCAGTGTAACTTATATTTTAGTTTTGAAAGCAAATTTTGTGTTATAAGAGTTATTAAAATGATGCACAGTGATGGATTTTCATGTTTTTGTGTACAAACAGAAACAATTTGAAAACAATATATAAATGATAGTATTAGTTGTGATCACATTATATAGCATTTACTGATGTAATAAACAGCATATCACATAATTAAGGGGCAGTAACTTTATCACAACGAGAATACCTGTGAGAGGTTTCCTATGATTTTGTGAATATAAGATTTTCATCCATTATTTTTTTATTTCTTTATAACTGGTACATTATTTTTACAATAAAGTGATTTTTATGCTACTTTCCATTAGAATTTCCGCAAAAACATAATTGTAAAATAATCCTATTCTAAAATCCAAACCAGACCTTAATTTACTAGTATTATGTTTTGCTTGATTTCTAGAATACGAAGGAAAGTAATTTTTCAAAGTTATATTAAATCACTCTCCAGTAGTTATCAATGTAGATAAACAATTCTTATACTAAACAATTTAAAATAATAATAATAATAAAGAAAATATATGCACATATAAATATACAGTACATTTAAATAGTAATCTTGAACTAAAATAACAGATTACATTTCAAGAAATATGACTGTTACATAAATGTATAATACATACATATATATATTTTAAATAACAAGCTGCTTTATTTAACAGCCATTAGACTTTGGCCACTACAAGGGCTGGAAGTGGTGGCCATTTCATTATGGAAGCACCGAATAGGTAGCCACAGTTTCCTCCAATGGAAGGCACGGACAGTTACAGCCATGACATCTCCAGGATTCGAGCCCGGGCCCATCCCTACTGCAGTCAGGGTTACTAACCACTATACCAACTGGGCAGCATATAATGTCTACTTAATTTCAGAGTTCTTGCTTTATTTTTGGTTTATTCCTCCCTCAAATATTAATGAGAATACTTGATCTGAAATTAGTGTAAATCCCATATCATGGAGGTTTTGTATAATTGTATTACCAACGCTGTGGCTAGTCCACGAAAATTTGTTTTTTTCTCCACAATAAAATTGCTGCCCATCCCCCCTTAAAACCCCCACCATCTTATCAGTAATTTTTATTTTATTAGTGTTTCAATAATCTCTCTTAGTGAAATGTTAAAATGAATAATATGATTAATGTAAATATATATGATTTTTTCCTCCTCATTCATTACAGGTGATTACATTTTTAATTTAAATTGATCTTAATCATAAGGATAAACAAACAATGCATATACAAACTTATTAATAACTTATGCATCAAAATATGGAGAATTATAATAAAAAAGGAAAAATTTAAATTTGCAAGAAACTTACTTTTATCCTTTTGTAACTTCTCGTCAATAGATGTTATAGCTTTATCAAAATTCTCATTTAAAGTGGTATTGTCTATGTCTTTATGAAATACATTTTTAGCATCAGTCAGAGAATCCAGATTTTTATTCTGTTAAAATAATAAAAACAAATACATATATATTTTTGTTTTACTCAAAGATCTATATTCCATAAAGGTGAGGATCATTAAGCATAAATAAATAAAATATACACAGCACTATTGTAGGCTTATTTTCTATAAATATCATAGGAAAGGGGTGACCTCAACATTTTACATATGGTTCCTAGACAAAAGCCCACTAGACTAAAGCGCACGCGACAAAAGCCCACTATGATAATTGCCCATGCGTCAAATACCCACAGTGATGAAAGCGCACGCTGATAAAAGCCCACACGCATAAAAGCGCACATAATCAAAAGGGACTTACTTTTTTTTAATACTAAAAAGCGTATTTATAATTTTAATTATAATAAATGTAGTATTCAGATCTGAATTTCAGTCTCATAATATTTTATCACTACTTTATTTGTTTAATTTATTAGGTTGAAAGCAAACATTCTGCACTCTTGATTAAGTGATTAGCTATAACGTTTCGATGATAAATCTGAAATTGTATTTTATTATTTATTTACTTATTAACTTTAGTATGTGTATGTGAAAATGAAAAAACATCATTGAGGAGTTTCTCATATGCTATTTTCAAGGTAATATGGCTGAGATTAAATATAATCATGTTTCATTATTAAAACTATTAACTTTTTTATTAAAAAACACTTAAATTTTATTTTCTTTCTTTTTTCCTTTAGTTCCTTTTTAGTTTAGAAATATTAAAAGAGTTTAGCATAATGATAACTTGGCTAAGAGGCATTTTATTCCTTACTTTAGACTGAGTTTATTATCAAATTTAAACATATTTCTCATTGAAAGCTTTTTTGAATGTAACAATTATTATTTGGCGATTTTCTAGAGATATTTTCTTTTACATTTCTGAATAAATTAAAGCTGCCAGCTAACACCCTGTCAGAAAATGAATTCCAAATGTAACCTCTTAATCTTTCAACTACAGCAATTTGAAATAGAGTTTTAATTTTAATTATTTATTTATTTGGGGGGATGGAACAACTCTTAGAAGTCAACATATCTATAAATTTAAGTACAATAAAACTCAAACTATAGTAATAAATATGTAGCATTTTATTTGAAGATTACAAAGAACTATGCAAATAACATCTAATAAAATTTTGTAACTACATAAACATGTATTTATAGAGTCATCAGATTCAAAGTTCATAGTTTTTAGATTCTAAGTATACATATTATATAAATTTATCATTAATTAACAGTATTATGTAAAGCAAGAGAAAATTAGTATTAATGTTTCAAATTTTAATTTTTTAATAATTTGTCTTGCATTTGCTGTATATTTTTCAAGACGTATGGATATCAGTTATATAAAACAGTAACATGAAAAATACACAGAAAGCAGCTAATCTTATATTACAGCTGATTGTGAAAGAAAAATTAAAGTGCTCTTAATTACAGTTCTACAGCCGTTTTCTAATTGAAATTAGATTAAATTAATTCCATTATCCATTAGAAAATAATTATAGTGAATTTTATCTATTGGCATTCCTAAGAGGTTGCCCTTTGGAAGGAGACCTATATTTTTTTGTGAACATAAACAAACATTGCCAGTGAATATCACATTTCTAAGACCACCATATCTACAACCAAAATCCTTTAAAACTGTGAACGGTTGGGTTTATAGATGGCTTATTATTTTTAATAAAACATGTACATCTTAGTTATACACTTGCTGCATTTTGATTTTTTTGTCAAAGAAAAGAAACAGTGGTTCTATTTCTTTAGAAGTATGTGAAATTAAAAAATGGACACTATATGACAAAAATGGAATTAGATTCAAAAACACACCTCTTGAACATATGTCTGAAATTCATTATTCTGCTCGGAATAAATTTATCTAAAGGAAATGTTTAATAAACATTATAACTCAAAGGCTAAGTCAGTGCGGACGGCAGCTGTCAAACGACACTATTTCAAACTCTGCATGAAAAGAGAAAGGACAAAATGGCACTAAGCCAAGGAAAGGCATGCCTTCGTGGAGGACGTTTTTAAGGAAATTCGCTCGTATACATGTTACGCAAGGGAAAATCCATGAAAGTGCCTATGCAGTCAGCCTTTCCATCGATATTTTAACCCCGGATAGAGCTACCAATGTTTAGTGTTTTTACCACTTGGCCGCTGGTGAGTCTTGTGCCTACATGAAAAGCTTAAGAGAATTGGATAACTGACGCATCCTTAATGTACAGCTTTTATTTAATTTTTTATTAATTTTTATTCATTTAACAAATTATTTATTTTTTTCCGATATTTAAACTTTTTTTCGGATTTATTTTCAAAGGAACAATGTCTAGAAAGTTTTGCGAATCGAAAATAAATGATTAAGTCTTAGATGTGATATGTTCTATCAATCCCCCGCCAAAAAAACTAAGTTGTTATGCATATTGCTTATCTCAACAAATGCTCAAAATTTGTTTCTCTTTTGAAATCAATAGAAATTTTTTTAATGAAACTAACCCCAATAAAACGTGGAATTTTATGTTTGAATGTTAGCTTTAAGAATGGAGCTAACAAACAAGTTTTAAGGCCTAATTGTTTACGGGAGCATACAAACATACAAACTGTCAATGACCTTCTGTAAGATTACTGGTGACTTCTCACTAGCCAATAGAGTCCGCCAAGCGGTAAAGTCACAAAACACTGGTAGTTTAGTTCAGTCCCGAGTTTCAAATCCAGTGGATGGGCTGGCTGCAAGGGCGTTTTCGTAGTTTTCCCCATGTGTAACTTGTATACGACCCGATTTCTCTTAGAAAATCTTCCACGAAGGCATCTCTTTCCTCAGGCAGATAGCCCTCGAGGCTTTGCCATACTCACATACATCAAACCAAACTCACTAATCAACATGATGTTCAGTAACAACAGAATAAGGATAAAGGTTGAAACCTTTTATCCAAGAGAACTATTTTCCAGCATGCCTTCGTGTTGTAGCGGTCTTAGCACACTCGGTGCGTATTCGAGAGGTTCAAGTTAAGAGTCCTGGCGAGCGAATTGCTCATTTTCCACGTCTCCAGCATGGTGCCTGAACTAAAAATGCACACTCGGTGCGTATTCGAGAGGTTCAAGTTAGAGTCCTGGCGAGCGTATTGCTCATTTTTCACATCTCCAGCATGGCTCCTGAACTAAAAAAAAAGGTGGTGGATGATGATTCTTCCCCACCAAGATTTGACGACTGGGTCTCCTAATCCCCAGTCATCTTTAAAAGGGGGAGTATATAAAGTATTTCTCACTCCTTCCAGCATGCCTTCATGGTGAATGGTTAGTACAATCGGCTCGAATTCAAGATATTCAGGTTCGAGTCTCGGAGAGGGCATTGCTTATTTTCATGTCTCCCGCATTAAAAAAAAACCCTAATGACTCTACAGTACGAAGTAAAGATCCGTAAAGCATAAAATTCTATATTTAATTCAAGTTGGCTCAGTCTAGACCAATGATTCTCAACAGTGCTTCCCTCATGTGCCCTTTTCACCGTTGCTAAACGATCACTCAATACTTCCCTCCCCAAACTTGAAAAGTACTTATGCGTTTGTTTAAATATGGATTATTTGTAATGCATTTTATAAATTAAACAAGTATAAAACATGTTGATAAATACCAAAATTTGAACAAAATTCATAACTAAATTTAAACACTTAATTCGTAAAAAAAAAAAAAAGTAAACTAAATTACTCTGTGAAACTGTAAAATTCCTCTTAGGGATATTCCTCCTGATTGAATCCTCCTAGGTAGAATTCATTTTTAGTGACTGAATGTACAGATAATTTAATTTGCCACACTTCTCTTATTCTAACTTTTGTTATACAAAACTTCGGATCACGTGTATGTTCTTTGAAAAATTAAAGTTAAGACACAAATTTTAAAAAAACTTATGTTTATAATTTGATGCTGAATTCAAAATCGTTTATTTATCTAATAAACCTAAGAGATCAAAGTTGAAATATACCTTAGTACTTGTTCTTACTAACTTCTGCTTAATGAATTATTCTTAGGAACGAACCTTAAAAACTAGTGAAACATTTCATGCAGAAAACAAGATATTAGAAATTCTATTCTACATGTATATGTTTTTAACTATATTATTTTGATTGACTCTCTGTTCTATATACATATAGGGTTTTAATTCAGCCGGAGCCTAAAATGAAATGTGTTCTGCTACTTAAATTTATTGTTCAATTAATTGTTATTATTTTAATTTATTTTTAATTTTTATTAATTTAATTTATTTTTTATTTTATCTTTATTCATGAATCTGCTTTGTGCAGCTGAAGAAAAAGGGGAAAAATATTAATTTTAACATAGCATATACTTTGGGGTGGGTATTTGTCAGTGTGGGCTTTTATCAGCGTGCGCTTATATCTACGTGGGTTTTTATCAATGTGGGCTTCTATCTCTGTGGGCTTTTATCAATGTGCGCTTTCATCGGTGTGGGTATTAGTCACGTGGGCAATTATACCAGTGGGGTCTTTTTTGTGGGCTTTTGTCGCATACACTTTCGTCCAGTGGGCTTTTGTCTGGTCACTTTTACATACGTTTTAATATTGAATTGTCCTTTCAAATTTTATAATTAATTATTTTTCAAATTAAATGTCTTAAAGAAGCTGTCTATAAGCTAAGTAACTAGGAATTTCTTACATGGGAATACTACTTATCAGGAGAAAAATCTTAATAACAGTAATAGGATATCAGCTCGGGATTAAGAAATAAAACCACACCTCATTTATGCATACAGTTTGTCTGGTCACTTTTACATACGTTTTAGTTTTGAATAATACATTTTAATATTGAATTGTCCTTCCAAATTTTATAATTAATTATTTTTCAAATTAAATGTCTTAAAGAAGCTGTCTATAAGCTAAGTAACTAGGAATTTCTTACATGGGAATACTACTTATCAGGAGAAAAATCTTAATAACAGTAATAGGATATCAGCTCGGGATTAAGAAATAAAACCACACCTCACTTATGCATACAGTTTAACTCTATAAATGCAAGAAGTTAAAAAAAGGAATCCTCAGTTAATTGTTTAGTGAAATTTTTCTTAGTTTTACAGAAAGTGAACTTTCTCTAGTAGATGATGCACTAGTGTTTTTTACAACAGTTTTAGACAATGGTCTCAAAACACAAATTGCACGTGAGCTGAATACTCAATCTGAGAGCTGCTGAGGGCCAGAAAATTTTGTTATAGCAATTTAAAAACATTTTAATAATACAAAAGATGAATGAATAAAAATATTAATTAAGTAAAAGAAGAATAAAAGTAGAAGAAGAATCAAAATCTGTTAATGAAGTGATGAAAGCTGTTCTGGAATTTGTTACAGCAGAGATGAAAGCTCTTCAAGATAAGACTGAAACAGGTCAAAACGAAATAGAAAGAGAAATTACCTGCATAATAGAAAACAAATTTGAGAATAAAAATGGCAGAATAAGACAGGGTTGAAACTAGGGTTGCAGAAACTAAGGAAAGAGGTCCTTCTATCAAAAAACAAATCAAAGAAAGAGTTTCTGCCGTTGGCCAGAGAACTTAAGCGTTTAATGAAGTGCGTTGCAACAGCAGCAAGCAATTCCAAGGGTTTTAAATATTTACCCATGCCTTCTCGTCTCTCTCTAAAGCTATCCACATATGATAGTAAGACCTTGTAGAAAGCATATGGCACAATTTTCTACAGAGGGCAGATGCAAATGGATGAGATTCGCAGCCTGAAAGCCTGTCATTTCGGTGCTTCTCAGAGAGCAGATGCAGCGGAAGAGAAGGACTCTTCCTAAAAAACAAAGGTCAGATTTTAAAGACTACAGGAGGCATCAGGTGAAATTCCACCAACAGAAGCCCATGGAAACACTCCAGATGCTCGAGATTGATTTTGAAAGGATGGCTCATCTCGTCTTTCTGGACTGCCCATCAGAAACAAAGGAAACCCTGTCCTTGCCGTACTTCATGGATGGAAACCAGGATCCTGAGACAGAAAGCCCTGCGAATGACAGATGTCAAGGATTTAAAAAGTGCTCTGCTGTATGCCATCAAATTCAAGACAGCCCAGCAAACAACTCTTAGAAACCACCACCCATTCAGAGCTCTCAAGTCCAGGAGCAAGAGAGTCAAGTAACTGCTTGTCTAGATGATTTAACTAGACAAGTCAAAGCATTGATACACAACAGAAATTAAAAGAAACCTACCCGTAAGTTCGGGAACTGCAGTGCTGAAGACCACGTACGAAGAAACTACAGAATTCCCCATGGCATGGAAGCTAAGACTGTACTCAGCCAGAAGAAGGGAAACTAATTAGCGGCAATCTCACTGGGCAGAGGTTGTCAGATAATGAGAAACCCCATTTAAAAGTGCTTCAGATTTCTAGAATGACTTGTGGCAGTAATGGATTCTTCATCATGGGACATATCAACGGTGTCCTTGCAATATGGCCGTTGATACAGGAGCCAATATTTCCATCATCTGGAAAGGTCTGACTCGAGGACTGGAAGGTAAACTCATCTGCATGCCACAATGCAGTAACCTCCAGACTATGTCTGGGGACATGATAAATAGCGACATAAAATTACATGTTAATATCATGTCTGGAAGTTCCCTTTACCATCACACAACGTATGTAGCAAATTAATACAGGTCCTTGCATACTTGCATTGGACTTCAAAAGGAAATACAGCTTTTTCTTTGAATTAAAAAATAATGAACTGCATTCTGCCTCTGAGAACATAGCCCTATTTGGAATTAATCACGAAGGAGTTAAATCTGTTCATCAAATCAGCTCAAGACAATATCACAGTACAAGCAAAGAACAGAACTTTTACTTTCTGAATCTATAGCAGAAAACAGAAATTTCAAGTATGGTGTATTGGAATATCCCAAGAACTGTAACACCCATGAGGAGTACTAGTAGCTTCAGCATTCGTTGACTTATCAAAATTAGTTACAGTGAGAGTTACTACAGTCAGTCATAAAGCAAAAATCATTAGGAAAGGTGAAGTAGTTTCAGCATGTACCCCAGTGGCCAGTGTTAAACAAAACAGAAAACCTCTGGAATCCGAGTCTTTACAGAGCATTACATCGGAGTTATTGCAGGATACACAACTAAGCAATGAAGAGAAGTGTACTGCCAAACGTGTCATTCAAGAAGTTTTCTTCCGCTCAACTTCTGAGATAGGTCAAACTAGTTTGACACAGCACAGAACTGATATCGGGGATTATCCAAGACAGCTACAGATTGCTAAACAGGACGGGGTAAAAACTCTTTTAAAGACATTCACGAAAGCGATGTCATCGAGCCTTCAGCAAGTGCATGGACATCTCCCATTGTCCTCGTCAGAAAAAAAGACAGTTCAAACAGATTTGCATTGACTATCGCCAGTTAAACAAGGTTAAACTACCCCCTTTCTATAACTGATGATATTCTGGACACTCTTTTTGAAAACAAGTGGTTTTTGATAAGTGATAAGTGTTTCTCTGAATCCTGAATAAATAAATTCTCACATACACTTAAGGCTTGTTCAGGCTTGCCGCCAGATAGCGTACCGCTCGACACAGTCTCTGCAAGTCCTAAAATTCTGCTACCAAAAAAATGCCTCCCCGTATGTTCTAAATTCTCAAAATACCAAAAATTTTGTCTTTCATAAATTCTCCCACCTGGTGCGGCCATAGAAGCTCTGATGCCGGTTCTGGGTTTATGTTAATAAACAAATCAGTTACTCTTAATTCATACAGCACTAAATGTAATCTTTTGGCCTATCATTAATAAAATCTGCTTTTAGCATGTGGAAAGAAATTTTTCTTACATTTGTCCTCACCAACATTTCTTAACGCATGTAACTTAAATCTATAATCATCACCAAGCATAAAGTCAACATAAAAGATTACCATACTCTTTGTTATTCAATTAATAATATATATATATATATTATATATATATATATATATAAAAATTGTTTAGGCATTGCTGTATGAGTCATTACTTGAGCTGTCATGTGCTGATAAACATGCGGTGACGAAAGCAAAATATAATAAATAATGACTTGCCAGGTTGGCATCGGGGATAGAAAATATTAGTAGGTATAAAATTAATGATGTTTCTACGTAGAATGTTTCGGTTTGAGATATATGCCAAGCAGATACGCGGCTATGGAGCCAAATTATTGACCACACAAATTTATGCTAAAATTATTGTTTTTTTAATAATGAGGTCTTTCATTTAGTGCCAAAGAGAAATTAAGAATCAAGACTCTTCACATATTTTATTGTGGGGGAGGGAAATGAAATGCCCGTGCATAAAATATACCCCCCAAATAAGGGAAGGGAGTTGGTAGCTTTAAGGTCCAGATGTTAGATCATTCTAGATACTGAACGTTCGTATCTCGGATTTTGCACTGCACTACAAATATTTTCTTTTTATCTCTTAAATAAAACGCATCAAGGTATAACAAAAAGGAAAAATACTTAAAACTTTTTCAGAAAGACACTTTTGGATTTGTGACATGGAACATTTACCATATTTCATTTAGACCATAGGCCAAAAATGAGAAGTTCTGGTCATTCTCTCTTAGGGTAAAATCTCAGCAGCAATATAGCTATTTTTATGGATTTTTTCTTTAAACAAAAGCCACTGTTTTTCCACAATTCTACCACAGATACAGTCTTTGTTAAGTTTTATAAGTCTTTGTTACAATAATCAATAAACTTTATAATTCAAAATAGCATCCAAAGAGATATGCGATTCATGCACGATTTAACCGTATACATATATGGTGACTGTAATGCAGCAACTGTGCAGGCTTTACAAGAATAAAATACTTTATTGTAGGGAGTTAAAAGAATTGCACAGAAAATCCTATTCAATACTAATGAATTAAACAGAAAAGATTTATTCTGGGAGCATAAAATACTTCATATAATTCATAAATTTTTTTAGGTACCCACTTTCATCATTGAAAACTGTAAAACAGCACACTAGTTATAAATAAAGCATGCCATTATTTAACTGAATATGAAGGGGAAATTATATCTGCTGCATGTTTAATAAATTACAAAATAAATAAAAAAACACAAAATTCCTATCATTTCATGAGATAAAATTATAGAGATATATTTTTCAGCATATTCATATGTAAATATGAAGGTTAGTTTTCAGAAACTGTACTCACTGCACTTTTAAATTTCTGTAGTTCTATTTCTAGGATCTTCTTCTTACTTTCAAGTGATGCCACAGTAGTTTTTAAGCCTTCAACAATCACAGACATATGGATTCCTTTCTGCTTTTCTTTTTCTAAAGCTGTATGAAGCATTTTCACACTTTGCTGATACTTATTCAACTTTTCTTGGCATCTAGATATATATATATATATAAAGAGTAATAATCAAAATTTTAACAACATTAAATTTTCTGCAATACATAATTTTTAGACAATTTTAGAAATAAAAAATTTTAGTGCTCTAAAATACTTAAACAAACCTGGCTACAAATTCAGTTATACTGTAATGAAAGAAAGAACAAAACAAAAAGTTTCCTCAAAGTGACAATTTATTAAGTTTCTAAAAAGTTCCTTACAACTGTTAAGATGCAACTGCAGAATATTCAAACCAATTTCATCAAAATGACTCAACTGCCCAAATTTAAATACACTAATATCTCTCTTGACCACAATATCAAAATAATTAAAATTTCAACCTGTAAGAAATTTCTCATTATTCTTTCTTTATATGACATCGAAATAATTTCAAAAACACATACTGGCAAAACAGAAAGATAAAAAGAATACAGCAAAATTATGTTCCTTACAACTGTTAAGATGCAACTGCAGAATATTCAAACCAATTTCATCAAAATGACTCAACTACCCAAATTTAAATACACTAATATCTCTCTTAACCACAATATCAAAATAATTAAAATTTCAACCTGTAAGAAATTTCTCATTATTCTTTCTTTATATAACATTGAAACAATTTCAAAAACACATACTGGCAAAACAGAAAGATAAAAAGAATACAACAAAATTATGTTCCTTACAACTGTTAAGATGCAACTGCAGAATATTCAAACCAATTTCATCAAAATGACTCAACTGCCCAAATTTAAATACACTAATCTCTCTCTTAACCACAATATCAAAATAATTAAAATTTCAACCTGTAAGAAATTTCTCATTATTCTTTCTTTATATGACATCGAAACAATTTCAAAAACACATACTGGCAAAACAGAAAGTTAAAAAGAATACAACAAAATTATGCTGAAAGAAATTGACAAAGGAGTGTTAACTTTCATAAGCTGCACTGAATTATGTACTTTCAACCTGTAAGAAATTTCATTCTCATTATTCTTTCTTTATATGACATCGAAATAATTTCAAAAACATATACTGGCAAAACAGAAAGAAAAGAAGAATGACAACATGCACAAAATTATGTTGAAAGAAACTGACAAAGAAGTGTTAATTTTCATAAGCTTTGCTGAACTATGCATGCTTATGACAGTACACAATGTTAAGAAATTTTACGGCAGACGAAGTGAATTTTGTTTTATGTTTTCGCAAAAATCTTGTAATAAGCTGTTAGATAATCAAAATTATGTTATACTATCACACTACGAAAAAACATTTTTGTTTCCTAATATATACTGTAAATTTCATTATGTGAAATGTATAAATAAGCTTATGTATTTTCGATTTTGAATCTTTTTATATTATTCATGCAAAATCTTTTTATACTATTCATTTAATTTTGGCCAATGGACCAAAAATATTACCACAAAAGTTCATATGCCAATATTTATTTCAACAGAAAGCTTTTTAAGACAGAAACAGTCTGTTCTAAAAAAAAATAATTCAATAAAATCTTATATGCAGGAGGGAGAAAAGTTCTATAGCTGCTGATTAAGAGAGATTTTACTTACGATTATTTGAAAGGAGCTCAATGTATTTTAAAACTTTTCAGAGGATCGCTTCCCACCATTTCCTTATTCTTAGAAATATACACAATAAATCCCGTTTTATGCATTATATATTATGAACATCACCAATACAAGTTATATTCTATGTTTAATGAAGAAGCATGGCACCTTTTCTTCGGCTACAAAAATTCAAGAACAAGCATTTATAATTTTTCTCTATCTCCATGGAATGCTAAAAGTAGCATAATTAAATAATAAAAAATCTGACATAGACACCCCACCTTGTATGGCCTATTAAATTACACACTTTTTGCTGCATTTCATTTAAACTTATTTCCTCGAATTTCATTATAGATATAGTTCTCATTCAATGAATTCAGTTCTGACTTTGCGGCAAAGCAAAAATACATAAAAACTTAAAATATCTTCATTAAAAATTGTAAAATACAGAAACACATAAAACACAAAATACAGTAAAACGATTTTCACAATGAAAATTAGGATAAAAAGAAGCAATTTGGCCAATGGGCAGCAAGAGGGCAGATTTTTTGTTGCACAAAACTGAAAGTTTACTCTTGGTCCCACTTGGCAAAAAGACAGTGAATGTGTAGAAACTCAATTCACTATTCAACTGAGTTTCAAATGTAAACAAATGGTGGTTTGTTAGGTGTAACTCGCCACTTAAAAACTTTGATATTATAATTAATTCTACAACTATGGCATGCAAATTAACTAAAGGCATAAAAACCATAACCAGAATCTAGAAAAACACAAAATTTAATTTCTTTTAAAGCAAAAAATGCACAATTTACCTATATATATAAGAATAAAAAAACTAATCTCACCAAGCCAGCTAAAAGAGTGGGAATATATATATATATTTTACATAAGACTGGTGCAGCCAATTGCAATGAAAAAGGGAGGTGCACAACTACATGTTATAGCAGTCCTATACACAAAGTTCTACGACTACACCTTCTTGGGTTACACAAGATACATACATAGGTATGTACAGATGTGAAAAAAAGCTCTTATCCGTTTTACCAAAAACAGACCTTTATTCTGTGCATAAATGCAAAAACATTGTTCAAATGGTTTCAAGAGCGGCTGAAATGGCATATTTTCATTGCAATATGATACCTAAAAATTTTCACGATTACTTCCTTTATTTTGTACAAGGTAGTAAAAAGAAACAGAGTTCCTTCCCAAATAATAATATACTCTTAAATATTGACTAAACCACATAATTTGTAATAAAAATATCCAGTAACATCTTGCTGAAAGCTTTCTTGTATTTGAGAGTTTCAATCACAATAAATAGTTTCCATTAACTAGAAGAGAAACACGGCAATACAAAATTTAAAACTAAATTAAAAAAGAAAAACAAAGAGAAAAATGTTTTGCAATTAAATATTTTAAAAATATATAAAATATTTTAGAATTAAATTTTTTTAATATAAAATATTTTTATAGAAAATTATTAATTTTAGAAAAAGTGCAGATTTTTGAATAAAACTATTAATTTTAATGTTTTAAGGACGATCAATCTGCCACTAAAAATCTAAGCTGATTTAAAGCTGACTTTTTGCCACATTTTAAATGTTTTAAGAGTTTCAAATTTCATTACTTTAAGAGATTTTCAATTAGTAAGTGGAATGCATATGAAGGATTCCAGCTATCACTGGAAGATATTCATAAAACTACAATGGAAGGCTAATTTCTGCCATTGATTCCATCACTAGTTTTTACAGATTGGTTTCCTTTTTTCATGTACTTTTATTATTGCTGGAAATCATCCGTAACTTCCAGACATTGCTAATTTACATACAAAGTAGGCAAAAGAGCTTCTTATTAATCAGAAATATGCATAGAAAATATCTGTGTTTCTAAAAAAACCTAACATTATCTTACAAATAAGAATTTCTGACTACCTTCCAGAACTGGATGTGTTACACAACAGAAGGCAGCACAGTGTCTTGTTAATGAAAAATAAGCATAGTAAATATCTGCGGTTTCAAATTCCTACATTTAATTTTTGATTATATATCTTTCTTATTTATACTTCTTTCTCAAATGGTTCCTTGAAAGATATATTTAGAGTTCTTTACTGTAGTTTAGGCAAATTTATAACAGCTAAGAGGGTTTTCTTCAAAAGAATTTATTTAATTTCATTAATTTATGTTATAAAACTCCAGCCCCCCCCAAAAAAAAGGATACACATGAAATATTTCCTTTTACCCTACTGCTTGCTCTCATGGTCTAAACTGCCAGCACATCCAGGTAGGAGTCAGAAGATTCAGAGTTCCAATCTCAGCAAGATACAGTAGATTTTTTTTTCATCCTTTCCACCCCTACTGATCTCATTTCTCTCTCCTCAGTCAAAAATATGATGGAATATAAATCCTCCCATCTACATATCATTTCTCTCTCCTCGGTCAATCTTTAATGGTACAAGGTATTTTATTCTTCCTAACTGTAAGCTCATGTAGTGTAACTCATAGAATATCCAGCTAGTATCCGTTAAGATCCAAAGTTTGAATCTCAGCAAGAGATTTGAAATTAGTTAGTATTTTATGTTTTCAGCTACAAATAAATACCTAATAGCTCTACATAGACACTCATGATCCAAGTTAGTATCAACAAAACTCTGTAGAAGTACTAAAATCATTAATAAACCTACTTTTTAAAAAGCTCTTCTTTTTCATTATCACTTTTTACAAGCAAAGTTTTCACAAGCGAATACTTGTGCTGCAGTTTTTCTTTCTGAGCTTGGTAAACAGTAGCCATTTTTGCTTTATTTAATGCTTCTACTAATTTTCCTTTTAATTCATGATACCCCTTAAGAAGAGAATCGTCAGTGGACAACATATCCTGTAAAATATTAAAAAAGACAATGAAACATAACCATTATGATTAATGAATACAATATTTTATACTATAATAACCCATTCAAAGGAAAATGTTAAAAAATGCAGAAAAACAACACATTACAGGCACAGAAATTCCTATATGGCTTTTTAACGACATTTCCCCCATTCTAATCTTCAATGTCTGCTTTAAATAATATTTTTTACTTACGAGTAACTTTCATTGTTTCATGATGAAAGTGAACAAATGGTTGGCTAGCTTATCATAGGAAATCACATAAGAAATATCTATCTCATGAAGGGTACCTCCACGGACGAACCTGTAAAATAACTTGTAGAAAACATAATAAAAACCCATGCACCATGTTCACTAGGAATCAAACTATGATAAACTATCAAATGACATTCAGTGGTTTTTATCTAGAGATGAGCAAAAAAATACTACACAAGGAAATTCTTCTTCTTACAAATTATTAATAAAAGTTATGCATGAGCCATTTATCTCATCTCTCTGTGGATGGTCAGCCAATCAGGTGCATCTTTACCATGGTCAAGAACCAGCAGGAGCGACAGACCAGCAGTTAAATGTTTGCCACGGAGTAGAAACGTGCTTGTTAAGTAGATACTGAAGGAGCCATGTTTGCTGCACAATAAACAGGGTTCGTACACATTTCTGCACACGGAAATTAAGGACTTTTAAGGACCATTAATGAAAAAATTAAGGACCTATGAGCAAAAGGGAACTGAATAAATTCAATTGAAGATATTAACTATGCCTGAATTTCACTTTTGTAATAGCATCCTAAAAACAAAATAGATCACCAAGTATTATTACTAAACATGAATTAATTATTATAATTGTTATAAGTTTGAGAATAAAATAACTTTATGCAATTTATCAAGTAACATTAAATATTTTACACATATAATAGTTGGTCATATTTGAAAGAAGATAAGCGACATTTACATTTTACTAACAGTTATCTTTATGTTGATTTTTTTATGTCTCATTTTTGTTACATACTTGGTCAATCTAGAGGTTTACTAAATAAGCAGGTAGATTTTATGTCAAACAGCATAGGTTAAAATGAGAAATAAGAACAAAATCAGCATAATTCATAACAAAAGACTGAATGTTGTCACCGCAGCAGTTTGTCTAGAGAGAGAGCTGCTGATTAGAACAAACCTGAAAGGCTTGATGTATTCAAGGTTGGCAAGTGTTGAAAGTTAGTCAGGCTCTGTTTGATGCAGTTAGTGCCGTAGCTTCGTGTACAGTTCCAGGGGTTCTAACACAGTTAATATACTTTAAGTTTCCAATAAGCCATTAAAGCACCAGAGGTGATAAGTTGTTTTTTATTTTTTATTTTAAGTCTCAGTAGATGCATAGAATATGTTTTACTTGAATGTTTACATTTTTATATTTTACCTTGTGACCACCGTGAGTATTAATGAAAGGCAATAACTCGCTTTAATATGCAGAGATAATTTTTAAGGGTAAGCAGTTAGTTATAAATAATTAAATTAGGCAGTTTGATAACCTTAGTAATTATGGATTTACATGACCACTATTAAATTTTATTTTTTAACAATATTTGTTAAAAAAAGCCCTATTAAAATTAAAACATAATAAAATTTCACAGTCTAAAATACATGTAATTTATGACACAGATTCTTAAATCATATTAAGATAATTACACAATAAAAGCTACAAACAACAACAGGCAACAAAATATTTATTTTAATTGTTGTCATTTTAATTAGAAGCCTTCACAGACATTTTGGCTAGTTTATATCGATTTCCTTGTCTCTTAAGCATCTTTTCAAACAATTAGAGATTTGTCTCAATATGCAAACCAATGCTCTCGTTAGTTTCTGTGTGATGTTATCTCCTAACTTGTCAACCTCTCCACAATGTACCTATGAGGGTTTTAACTGATCTGGTAAAAGTTAAATAGTCCAAAACCCCCTAACAGACGTAAAGCATATTATTGCTATGTCTGAAATTAACTACAATATCAGACAAAGATTTAAATAAGCCTCTAATTTAAAAAGACCTTAGAACATAAAGGCATGTTCTGATGCTAATAAAATCAATTACAGCTCACGGTGACGCAATTAAACAAGAACTGTCAAATTCAAACTAATAATGTGGACTATTTAATCTGGCTCAATAATTCTATCATATGAGGAAATAGAAATGGGAAATTATAGTAAAGGTTGAAATCATAAATAATCGGGTAATTTACATAATAATAACTGCACATATCTTTGAAGAATAATTTTCTTTATGTATTCAGTTTCTTTCTTCAACACGTTTCCTTTTCATTTTAGAATTTTTGGATTTCATTAAGGATTTCTGTTATTCTAAAAACACTAAATGCATTTAGAATGTACAGAAAAAGCGGCTAATTTTATTTCTTTAGTAATATGAACATTCAGAAGCAATATGAAATATATATAGTAAAGGCCGGTTACAGAGCTGATGTGGCAGAACTTCTAGAATTTAATGACACACCAAACAACAAAAATCTAGAAGTGGCAAAACTTAGAATTTAGAGAAAGCATTGTAAGAAGAATTTAGAAAGGCACTAGGCAGCAGAATTTAGGATCCACAGAGATTGCATCAGGTGGGAAAATGCCTAGTGCCAGCTATGTGTATGACGCATTAAGAAATGAATTTTTTAAAACTGTAAGTTTTCAATTTCTTTATTAATAAAAAAATCCCTTTCTATAAAATGCCTGCCCATGTGATATGATCCGAAACATTTTTGATATTTTCCATGCTTCTGTCTAGTGAAAAGTAGAGAAAAATAAAGAGAAGATAAACATTCTAGTATCAGAAGTAAAACATTCAAATATTATGTTTTCATTGTTCTTCCAGATGTTCTCCAAAAATTAAGAAATTCATTGCAAACTTTCTGTAAAATACATCCATTACGTGTTGATACCATGGTGACATTTTTTGTTTTTTCACATATTTCTCGAATCTTCTAGAATCGTGGGTCTATATCTTGCCTTCAAATCCTTCTAAACTTTCCAAGCTGCAATGTCTAAAATCCTAAAGAAAAATTATCCCTACCAATTCTGTAACAGTAAAAAGCCAAAAATATTTTTTTGGGAAAAAAAAAAAAAAAGAGATGGGGAAAAGTGTACAATTAATTTTATAGAGAAAAACTGGTGCATACTATGAGACAATTACATGGGAAAAACTCTGGAAAAAGTGCAGAATCGCCGACTTCTTGGCACGTTTTTAAAAATTGCACATACTTGGTATCCATTTACACATTAACCTATTTTCACTTAAAAAAAATATCCCAGAATTGCACAAAAATGTCATTGCACACTCCTTTGACTTAATCCATGTACACATCGACCTATTTTTACTTAAAAAGTCAAAGAATTTTTACAAAAATCCAATTCTTCTTACTTTTGTGAAAAGCAGCAAACAACTAAGTGGGTGATTCTGCCCTTTAGCAAAAACTCTTACTATGAAAAAATTGAAAAGAAGATATTTTTAATTAATTACATAGCTAATTTTGCTTTTGCTAAACATTTTGCGAAACGTTTATCTAAAATTGAATTTGAATTATATTACCTCCATTTAAAAATTGCTAATTCCACTGAAAATTTTCCCCCTTTTGAACATACTGGTCTAGAACCGATACCATTTGTCAACGGCATAAAAATGTGCTTATTTCTAAATTCCTTAAACTCACACACCAGTCGGATAGTCCCAACTAACTAGCTGATCTTCCCACTATAAACGTTAACCCCATCGTTAATATCTCCAATAGGAATCTTTAGGAGGATCAGTTAAAAGTATTAAAATATAATTTCAACTTTTCAAAGACATCTAAACCTTCAATTCCTCAAATCATCGGCCCTATAGAGAAAGCCTTTAAATTCTCCAAAATTTCGGAAACGCAGAAGGATACAATCCGCCACCTAATTACTCATAACGTTAATTTTAACAACAAATCTTTGGGTTTGAATCTTAGCAAAAAGGAAAATGAGATCTTACGTGAAATTCATTCTGATACTACTATCATTATCTCTAAAGCTGATAAGGTCGGAGAGATCGGTGTTATGGACAAACACACATATATTACTGAAGTCTCTAAATTGATAAATGAAGGCCCATACTGCTTGATCCCTAAAGATCCTTCAACTTCGGACCTCACGAAAGTTAAAAGTGCTATTAAATCTTCCCACATTTTGCCAACTCAGTTGAAGAAATCACTTATTCCACCTATTACTAATTGCGCTAGACTTTATGCTCTTCCCAAAGTCCACAAAACCGGTATTCCTTTTTGACCAATTGTTTCCAACATAGGTACTGCTTCATATCCTTTGGCCAAATATTTAGTTTCCAGATTTTCTCCTCTACTTGCTAACAATATTCACACTATAAAGAATTCTGTTGAAGTCATTGATAAACTTAAAAATATTTCTCCACTTCGTTCCATTATGGTTTCATTTGATGTCAAATCACTGTTTACTAATGTTCCAGTCGAAGGAGCACTAAATTGTCTTGAAACTAGGCTTCGGGAATTTCACTTCACACATACTGAAATTAATGAGTTGGTTTCGTTTACTAAAGTTTCTCTAAGTCAAACCCACTTTGTTTTCCAAAATGCATATTTTCGTCAAGTTGAAGGATTGGCTATGGGTAATCCTCTCAGTCCGGTACTTGCTGACATTTATATGCACTATTTTGAGATGAAATTATTTGATAAACGAGCCATCATATGGGCGAGTGAGTAATGGTTTCGGTGCATTATGCCTCATAAAGACACGAGCCCAAATAAAGTGAATGACTTAAAAACTGGGTGCACGAAATACATATTGCTAATATGAGCTGATGTGGGGTACCAGAGACATTTCTCTCATTGCCTCACACAGTTTCTGTAAAAACGAAATCAGGTCAACAGAGTTAAAAACTTGAGTGGACTGCAAAAACTCTGAGGGAAAGCAAATGATAGTTCCGTATACCATCCCCCACGC